CACATAATTTGAACTGGAAATATGTTTAAGAAAAGGAAGCGTTTTGAACTAGAGGAATTTTATAAACATACTTAGATGTCCATGAATTAAAAGAAAACTGTCAAGTCATTTGAACCCATGCATCATCTCTTCCTATGTTATGAAAGGGAGCTCTGGAAAGTTTGTATTAGAAGGGGTAGTGAAACTGAAATCATGTAACCTTTTGCAGTTTTTTAAAAAAATATAGTTTGGAGGCCGGGGCTGTGGCTCATGCCTATAATCCTAGCACTTTGGGAAGAGGATTGCTTGAGGCCAGGAGTTTGAGACCAGCCTGAGCAACATAGCGAGACCTCCTCTCTACAAAAAATAGAAAAATTAGCCAGGTGTGGTGGTGCCAGCTACGTGGGTGGCTGAGTCCGGAGGCTTGCTTGAGCCCAGGAGTTTGAGGTTGTAGTGAGATATGATGACGCCACTGCACTCTAGCCTGGGCGACAGAATGAGACCCTATCTCAAAAAAAAAAAAAAAAAAAAAAAACGAAAAAAAGAAAAAGGAAAAGAAGAAAGAAAGTACACATCCGGAGGTACCTGAAACTCCGATGCACTGCTCCGCAGCTGGCTCACGTTTGGTAAGGACCCTCCGTGGTACTGTGTCAGGCGCAGTTGCTGAAGCTTCTGAAATTGAACCTGGAAACAAAGCAATTTCAAGAATGTTGAGAGATGACAGCAAAGATCTGAAAGAAGCATCAAAGTGTGGTGTTTTGTAGTACAATGGTTCAAGGATGAAAGTCTTGGTTTCGATTTCTTCTTTACTTAAGTGATCACAACCTTCAGGTTTCCAGTGCCTTCTGGTTTTTGGTTACTCTATTTTTAGAAAGAACGTACCCATGTTGCAAATGTCGCATGTGCTATGACAGTAAGGTACCCATGCAAGGTCTTTGAGTCTGTGGTCTTAGGTGTGCAGGCATAGTCTTTAACAACAATAGAGGAATCTCTTAAAGCAAAACTAAGCTACTACCCACGACCCTAACACATTAACTGTTTTCCCTTCTCTGCATTCTTTCCATTTTTCATTTACGTGTATGTGTAAGAACTGAATAGTTGTGATCATAAATACAATCTTGGATGCCTATATCATAAGCCTTTTCTATATTACATAATCATTACTAATGCCTACATAACAGTTCTTCTTCTGAATTACTTCCCTAGATCACATTCCAAAGAGTGATTATTAAATCTCTGGATTTGGGTCTTTCAGTAGCTCTCAATACATACTGACAAAATGCTTTCCCAAAGGGTTTACCAATAGATGCATGAAAAAATTGTTTCACAAAAAAACTCACTAACATTGGACATTATCATTAATTTCGGCAAGGAAGGAAGCCAGTTCAACAGGTATAAAATGGTACCCTACTGTTTTAATATGCCTTTCTTCTCTAAGTTCTTCCTTACTTCATTTTTCAAAAGGCAATAAACTGGTTACAGTTCTTATAAACCCCAAAGTGGTCCAGTCTGGCCTGTAAGAGTTCTATGTCTATAAAATAATAAATTAGCTCTGTGGTTATATAACCCTTGGCACTTACAATTCATATAGGGAAGAAAGAGATTATAGAGGAGAGGCCCAAGGCAGATTGTTAACCCTTTCATTACTCTCTCTAATAATGATAAAACCATCAGTCCTGAGCCCTGAGGACGGGCCAGGTGCTAGCGTCAGATGCTTTGACACTTCCTCCCTAACCTTCACCACAAACATGCAGGGAAGATTGAATTATCCTGCTTTTACAGACCTGGAGGCCCAGAATCAGGTAAGTTAGCGACTGGCCCAAGGTCCCCCAACTAGCAGGAGGTCGAACCGCGGCTGTCGAACACAAAGCCCATGTTCCTATTTCCGCCACGCTCTTTTCCTTGGTTCCATTTCTCCCTCAGTGGTCATACTATTTACAAACTCGGAAAAAAAGGAAAAACTTTGGTTGACCAAAACCATTGCCGAGCCTATGAAGCTCTCTGGTTTCGTTTTATTTTTATATGTATTATGAAAACTTTAGTATATACAAAATAGAGACGAATAGGATGAAACCTTATCTAGCCATCTTCTAGCTTCAACAACTGCCAACTTCAATCCAACCTTCTCTCATCTTTACCCCTCCACTCCCCACAGTGCCCCAGTGGAAGAAATCCCAGATATCACATCACTCTGCGTTTCAACATGTACCTCCAAAAGACGAGGGCTTGTAACTGTTTAGAAATTTGAAAAGCACACGAAACCCTTCAGTGGCCTTAACTTCCCTCTCACGCACAGTATTTGATTTCTCAAACATGCTGCACAGGGAAACGGTTACAATCTATTAATCACAACCCAGCTCTCAGTGTCAAATATGAGGGGACATGGTGAACTTTTTCCACCCATGATCTGACTTACAAGAATAAAGCCTCCCAGCTTTTGATCTCAACATTCTAAAAGCACTTAACAGAAGCATCTGACTCTATCCTTGAAAATTCTCTAGACAAAATTCCCAGCTATCTTGATCTAAAGCCTTTAATTTCTTCTTCAAAGGATCAACCTGTCATTTATTTACTTATGCAAAAACTTAACTGTGTGTCAGGTACTATGTGAGGCACTGGCTTAAGGAAAGGAATCCTGCAAAGCCCCTGCCTTCAGAGAGTTCTCACAAAGGACTCAACTCTTACCCGTAAGCCTTGACGCTTCAACCAAACTAGGTTCTAAATCCAGCTAGGGACTTCCCTTCCGCTGAGCTGGAGGCCCTCACAGCCCTCCAAATGCTCTCCCTCCCAAAACACCTATTTCCAGAGCCTACACTGCTGTGCTGCAGGAAAGAGCGCCGGGCTTGGCATCGGAAGACCTGACTCTGTGCCCTGGAGCTCCCACACCGCTGGGCAAATTACTCCGATGCCTCCTTCACAGAGATGATGTGAGGGTTACGAGAGAACAGACGCGACAGTGGCATACAAAATGCAAAGCTTTCGACAACTTCTCAAGACATTATCATTATTGTTTTTTGTTTTGTTTTGTTGTTGAGGTACAGTCTCACTCTGTTGCCCGGGCTAGAGTGCTGCGGCGTCAGCCTAGCTCACAGCAACCTCAAACTCCTGGGCTCAAGCGATCCTCCTGCCTCAGCCTCCCATGTAGCTGGGACTACGGGCACGCACCACTGTGCCTGGCTAAGTTTTTCTATTTTTAGTTGTTTGGCTGATTTCTTTTTATTTATAGTAGAGACAGAGTCTCTACTATACTTGCTTATACAAGTATACTATACTTGCTCAGGCTGGTCTTGAACTCCTGAGCTCAAGCAATCCTCCCGCCTCGGCCTCCCAAAGTGCTAGGATGACAGGTGTGAGCCACCGCGCCCGGCCAATCATTATTGTTGATATTCTCAGCTACCTCTTAAAACCTTGAGGAAATATTCTGGTGTTTTCCTCTTTTAAAATTTAGAATCATTGAGTTAGAAAGCACCTTGAGGCTGTCTTCAACACCTTCATGTTCACAGATGATGCAAATGATTAGCCTAAGGCAGAGGTCACAGACTGGCAGTCCATGGGCCACATCTGGCCTAGAGAGAGTTCTGTTGGATCTACAAGATGCTGACCCATTCAACATTTTAAATTTTGATTTAAATAATTAGGAGACTACATAAAAATCTGGATTTCCGACTCCTCCTGATTGAAAGATCAGACGACACGGAATCCACAGTCTTGCCTGGTAACACTGGGTGGAGCTGAGCTGCCCCCTTAGACAGGGCTGGAGTCCTCCTGCTTGCCCACGTCCTCGCTGGGCCACGGCCCTCCACTGTGGCCCTCATTCCGGGCCCTCCCCTCATTTTCCTTTCCTGCCTTACCTGTTAACTTGAGTTAGCAACCGTTGGCCCGTATTCACACACGTTAGTGGAATTTTCTTTAATGCCTATATGAAATGAGATCTAAGCCTCACTAATTCCTTTGTGAAAGTCTCAACAATAGTGAACACAATTACAATCAAAATCCCAGCAGGTCTTTTTATAGAAATTGAGATAATTCTAAAAGTTATGGATGTACAAATGACCTACAGTAGCCAGAGCAATTTTTTAAAAAGGGCTAAGTGGGAGGACTTAAGTTGCCTGGTTTCGAGACAGACCGTAAAGCCACAGTCACACAGACAGTGTGCTAGGGTCAAAAAGAGAGACGTACAGATCAATGGGGCTGAAATGCATCTAAAAACAGACTCCCACGTTTATGGCCAACTGATTTTTGACAAAATTGCCATAGCAATTCAATGGGAAAAGAAAAGTCTTTTCCAACAAATACTACAGACACAACTGGATGAGTATACAGACATGCAGTGTGACAGCCAGCTTCAAACTCCAGTTCTGCCACTTACCAGCCATGCCACCACACCTCTCCAAGCCTCGGTTTGCTCATCACAAAATGAGGAAAATTCTACACACACACAACATAGGGCCACCTTGAGGACTACCTGAAATAACACATGTAAAGGGATCACAACGTGCCTTGCATGGGGACTCAACACTTAGGCCAAACTCAATCTTTCTAGTCTTCCCTCTCTACTCCTCTCTCAGACACCTCGCTCTTCTACAACGTATCTACGGTTTGCTTAGTTTAATATAAAAATAATGGGTTTTCCCAAATATTCGAGCCAAATTAACACTCCAGGTTGATATGCTGAGTTAATCCTGTCATTTCTCAACACAAGTTGCACCTTCACGGCCCAACTTCCTGAACAAGTTTCCAGCCCTCTCTCCATTTCCTCCCGCCCACTGCTCAACGCCTCGCAGCCCACGTTGGGCCCAGCGCCCTGCACCGCAACGTCTCTCACCAAGGTTACCGACGGCTTTCACACGATTAGACCAAAGGACACATCCTCTGTGTCACAGCAAGTCAGCAGCATTAGGGTCAGCCGGTTGACATTCCCTCCTCTTCACAATGAACCGCTTTCCTCCTGCTCTCTGGGTGCGCTTCAGCCTTCCCTTCTTCCCTTCCCAGCCTTCTTCTCTGCCTCCCCTTGAAATGGTCTTGCTCCTTGGGCTTCTCCTAGGCCCTCTTTGCGTTTCACTTTATGGCAGGGGTTGCAGACTCACAGGCCTGCGGCTGCTGAGTAGGGAACAAAAGCGAAGCAGTCTGGAATCGCTGTGAGGGACAGCACAGGGCGTACTGGGGACCGCGGCAAACTGGAGCGCACCCACTTGCCCTGCCTGATGGGCGCCACTGCTCAGCCACAGGCAATTGCTGCCACGTGGGGTAAGTGTTGCCAGGTGATCTTGTTTTTCAAAAGAAGCCAGAGTCCAGATTTTAATGTAAAATCTCAATATTCATTTTTAGCCCTATTTTTTTTTTCCTTTATTGGGAGGGGGGCGGGGAGTCTTGCTCTGTCGCCCTGGCTAGAGTACAGTGGTATCACTGTAGCTCACTGCAACCTCAAATTTCTGAGCTCAAGCTATTCTCTTGCCTCAACCTCCCAAGTAGCTGGGACTACAGGTGTGCACCACTACACCCAGCTAAGTTTTCTATTTTTAGTAGAGATGGGGGTCTCGCTCTTGCTCAGGCTGGTCTTGAATCCCTGACCTCAAGCGATCCTCCCACCTCGGCCTCCCAGAGTGCTGGCTTGAGCCACCATGCCTCGCCAGCCCTAATTTAAAAAACAAACAAACAAACAAACAAAAAAAAACCATTCTGGGGCAAAACTAAAAACATACCAGAGGGCCAAATACAGAATGTAGACCCCAGTTTCCAGTATCTGTTCTATAAATCTTCCCAGGCAGCTGAAGCTACTTCTGTAGATTCACCACACCAAAGATCCACAGATTGACACCACCGGCCCGGCCTTTTCTCCAGGACCATATAAGCAACTGCCTGCTGGACCATCCCTCCTGCGGGCCTCAAAGGCACCTCAGACAACATTTCCTCACCTTCCTCATCCATGCCAAATCTGGTCCTTTCTACCTCTGAAGTATCAACCCGTTCACTCCTGTCTCCCCATTACCACGGCCTTAGTAAACGCCACCACCACATCTCCTACACCAAAATGACAGCCTCAGAACGGTTCCTCTGCCCCCTCCTCTATTCTAGCCTCCACTCTGGAGCTAGAGGAATCTTCTTAAAATGCAAATCTCCCCTGGTTCAATCCCTTCCATGACTTTCCATTGTTCATGGGATCAAGTCCCAAATCCTATCTCTACAACCTGATCCCTGTGAATGTTTCCGGCCTCATCTCAAATCACCCACATCGTCTCCTTGCCGAACCTCTGTTCTCTGTGCCCAAAACATATTTCCACCCTCGAAGGCCTTCCCCACTCCCACTGATCCTTTAGGCCTGCGGTCCCCAACCCCGGGACCACGGCCCACTGCCAGTCCATGGCCTGTGAGGAAACAGGCAGCGAATCACCTCCTCCCAACCCACAGCACTGCCCCCATTTGCAAAAACTGTCTTCCATGAAACTGGTCCCTGGTGCCAAAAAGTTTGGGGACTGCTGCTTTAGGCCACTGGAAGAGGTGGGAACTCCCTACTATACCAGAGCTCCATCCACTTCCCCTTTGTAACCGTCATCAAAATGTGTCCTTACTTGTTCAGTGAATGTCTTCCCATTAAATCCCAAAATCCATCAGGAGACTGTGCTTTGCTTCGTTCCTACTATATCCCCAGTGTCCATACTAACCCTTGGCACACACTACAGACTGCATCCGTATTTGTGGAACAAATTAAAAAGATTTTTGAAGGAAAGCACCATGTTTCCACCATTCCCCCCAACAAACAGGACCCTATGAACCACACAGTTGGCACTCAAGTACTGACAAATGAATATATTAATGAAGGAACAACAGAACAGCCTCTTCCCAGGCATACCTACTTTCATTTTCTTCCCTCTCTTTACTAGCCAAGCACTTCCTTCCCCAGATTTTTCCTCTGCTTCCTGATAAGGCTGAACCTCTAAAGCCAGAGTGAAAAATTCTCCATTATCTAGTCGATGCTATTTACCAGGTGTATAGGATTTAACTCCCACTCTGAAGGACTGGCTATGATTACACAGAGAAGGGCTTTTAGCCAAACACAGGCTCAAAGAGGAAAGAGGACTCGATCGATTAGCCATGTCTGTCTCACCGATTAGCGATGTCTGTCACGGACTGGTAATGGCAAGTGGGTAGATCTGCCATCCACTTACCTATTATGAACTAGATGGATTATTCTCCAACTGGGATCTTTGGATCCTTGGAAGTTCATATATGTTTGGGGAAATCTAAGAGTTCTGTATGACACGTATTTCGATTTTGTGATGGATTTCTTTATGAAAACAACCCTGAAAATTTTTAAATAAGTAAATTTTAGTAGGCAAATTTAATGTCATCATTTATGTGTTTATGAACGCAGAGGAGCCAAGTAGTATTGCTTCACTTGAAACAGGCCAAAAAGAAAACACAGAGAGAATTAACATGCAAATGAGTCCCTGTATCAGATGCAGGGCCTAGTAACACGATCATTTTATAGCAATTTGAATAGTGACTGAATTATCATACAGGCCGGTTGATTAGGTTTGCTACATTCAAGAGAATTGAGCTACAGAAGTTAGCACCATATCTACATTGAAAGCCTGAATTCAGTTTAGCAAAATAGCATTTGTCACATTATATTAATGTTAATTTGGATTTATTGCATTTGTAAGTTTGGTTGGATTTATTTTGTACATGTGTTTTGGTTGTATACAAAGGACTTTGTATACAAATTTATGTCTGAACATATTTGAATAATATAATCAAACTAATTTAAGTGAACACTGAGGATCTGTGAAAAAATATTTCCTTTAAAAAGTCTGTACATCCAGCTAAATGCATCGAGTTAAAAAAAAATAAAAAAATAAAAAGTCTGTACAGTAAAAAAAAAACAAAAACAAAAAACTGTATGTTACTTGTGACTTCATCTGTTAAGGATGTTTTAAGGGGGATTCCTAAGTCGGGTGAGAGATTAGATCAACTCTAGGTACACAAACACAGCACATGTGTTCGGACATAAACAACACACAGTATGTATCTAAACAACACAGAACAGCACAGGCCCCAACATTAATCACCAGCTTTCACCCACCCATTCTTTTCAGTGTGCTCTGAGCTCACCGAGCTCATCTCTGAATCTAACCAAGGCCACAAATATAAATGCCCAGGGATGCCAGGCAAGCAATAAATGACAATAAATGAGTGAAGCGGTTACGGCATAAGAAAACATTTTCACAAAATTCTCAGCCTTTTTTATCCATATACATACTTTTTTCTCTCGGTGTGATAGAAATGTAAATACAGGAAATATTTCACTTTCCCCTTTATAACTTCACTCAAAGAAAACATCATCATAAATATGATAAATGACAGCTGACACCTAGCCTTGGCATGGGGGACCGTGACAGAGCGCGGTGTGGACGGTGGCAACCCCAAGTTCATGCTGCCTTTGAGGGACAACCCCCACCCAGCTCCACACGGTGGCTGTCATATGGGAATTCGGGGTTTGTGTTACCAGGCCTCCCAATTTTTAATATGAATAAGAAAATTCGGATTTTGTGTGAAAATCTCCCAATTAAAAATTTCTGGCAACAGATTTAACAATTTTCCCCAAACACCCAGGCCGGTCAAAAAAATAACGTGTTTGCTAGTCGGTGAGCCGGGGACCACCAGTTGGCAAGTCTGCTCTTGCTCCCCGCCAAGCTGCCGACACCCCCGGCCCAGCCCACCCCCGTCTCCGCACATCCTCCCCCATCCTCCGATGGTCCTTCAAGGCCAGCCTTCAGGATCCGCAAGGCCTGCCCCCGCGGACGCCCCTTCTCCGCAGCCCCGCGCGGTCACTCCTGTGGGCTCTCCATCCTGTCCTCCGCGGCCTCACTCAACGGCTACCTGACCTCCGGCCAGGTGTTGGTCCCGGCTCGCACCTTCCTCGTTCCTCGGGTCCCTGCTCGGTGGGCACGTAAGCCGGACCTGATCGAGCACCCCCACAGAGTAAAAGGGGGAGCCCTCGTCCTCGAGCGCGATCGTCTCGTGGCGCCGAGACCCCACGCCGCCCGGGGCTGGCCGGACTCGCTGCGCGCACGGCGCTCCGAGGCCCCGGCCCGCCGGCCCGCGCCGACAGGGCGCAGGCTCGCTGGCGGCGGGCGCTCGGAGCAGGAGGAGCCGCGCCGCCCGGGGCGACGCGCGCCGGGGCCGGCCTCCAGGCTGCGCGCGATTTCCTCCCGCGGCTCCGGCCATCCTCCGCGTAGGCCGCCGGCGCACTGCCGCCGCTCCCGTCCGGCTCCCCGCTCCGGCCACACGGGCCCGCGACGCTCCCGCCTCCGCCGCGATCGCAGGCCGCAAGCGGCGGCGCGAGGCGGGAGCGCGAGCCGCGGCCGCTCGGCCCGCTCCCGGGCACCGGTTCCCGGCCGGGCCGGCCCGGCCCGCGGCGGGGCCGCGATCCTCACGGCCGCCCGCGCCCGCCCGCGCCCGCGCCCGCGCCGGCCCGGGCCTCACCCGCGACAGGGTGAGGTCGGTCATGAGCTGCTCGAAGGCCCGCGTCTCCTCGGCCTGCCGCTGCGTGTGCAGCGCGATCTTCTCGCTGAACTTCCGCGGGTTGGCGCTGCCGGAGCCCGGCGAGGCGGCCATGGCGCGGGCCCGAGCCCGGAGGGAGGCGGCAGGCGCGGGGCCCGCGTCTCGGCCCGCCCGCCCGTCCGCCCGCTGCCGGCTGCGGCCGCCGCCCGAAGCCCGTCGTCCGGCGCGACCGGCAGAGGAGCCGCGCGGCCCGGCGCCCGCGAGCGGCGGGAGCGCGCCCAGGTCCGCCCCCCGCGGCCCGGCCCCGCCTCGGCGCGCCGCCCGGCTCCCCGCCGCGGCCCCGCCCCGCTCCGACCGCGGGCCCGCCCGCTCCCGCGGCGTCCCCCGCCCCCCCGCCTCCCCGCTCCCGGCTCCGGCCCCGCGCCCCCGCTTCCCGCGCCCCGCGCCCGCTCCCCGCGCCCCGCTCCCGGCGCCCCGCTCCCCGCCCCGCTTCCCCGCTCCCCGTTCCCCGCTTCCCCGCCCTCCGGCGCTCGACCGCGGCCCGCCCGCTCCCCGCTCCCCCGGCGCGGGCCCCGCGGCCGCCGGCGCCCGGAGAGCCCCGTCCGCGGAGCACAGCGGCCCGACGAGCGGCAGCGGGCGCCGCTCCACTGAGGCTCTCCAGCCGAGGGCTGGCCTCTGGGTTACGCGGCTCGTTTAGAGCAGTGTTGCCGCATCCCGCCCCCGCCACCCTCCAAATTAGGGCGATTTATTTCGGGGGTGAACCTGCGCGACCTAACCTTGAGCAGCCTCCGCCTCAGTCCCCGCGTGGGGGCGCGCGCCAAATCCCGCAGGGGCCTCGTGCCTGCCCGCCGGTCCTACTCCGGGCACCGGCCTCCCTCCATTTGTCCTCCTGACGTCTTTTCGGCACCCCCTCCCAAAAGTAGCTAAATCTGGGTCTCAATTTTTCAAAACATCTCCTGTGTTGCACCAGGTAGAGACACCGTCCGGCCCTGGTGCAGCCGTGGCTCCCCAGCCCCGGCCCCCTTTCCAGGTGCTTTCAAAGTCTCCCCGTGGCCTCTCCAAGCCCCAGCGTCAGCAGGTGCCAATCCCACCTTCTAAAACCTGCCACATCAGCCTGGGGGGCTTTCCCCCTTCTTTTGCAGTCCAGAAGCAACTCGGCCTAAACGCTGATGTGCACAAAGATATTCTGGCGAACCCTGAGCTTGTGTCTGTGTTTTGTAAATTTGGAAATATTAGAGCTATGCAGAAGAGAACAGAAATAATATTATATAAGGCCAGCATGGTGGCTCAGGCCTGTAATCCCAGTGCTTTGAGAGGCCGAGGTGAGAGTTTTGCTCGAGGCCAGGAGTTCAAGACTAGCCTGGGCAACATAGCAAGACCCCATCGCTAAAAAAGGAAAAATTAGCCAGGCATGGTGGCATGCATCTGTAGTCCTAGCTATTCAGGAGGCTGAGGTAGGAGGATACTTGAACCTAGGAGTTTGAGGCTGCACTGAGCTGTGATTGAGCCATTGCACCAGCTTGAGCAACAGAGCTAGACCCTGTCTCCAAAAGAAAGAAAAGAATATTAATGACACCCACCCACATCCACTATCAAGATTAAACAGATATCAAAACATTTTGCAGCATGTAATTGGGATTTATTAAAGACATAAAATTAGACATAACTCAAGCCCCACCCTCATTCTTCTCCTTCCTCTCCAGAGATAGTCACTGTGCTCAAGTTGGTGCATATTATTCCTGTTCGTGTTTTTATACTTTTATTATGTATGACATATGGATCTAGCAACTACATATGGAATAAATACCAAATTTTATTTTTAATTTTTACAAAAATCTCCAGGCATAGTAGCTCACACCTGTAATCCTAGCACTCTAGGGGGCCGAGGCAGGAGGATGAACCGAGCCCAGGAGTTTGAGGTTGCTGTGAGCTAGTCTGACACCAAGGCACCCTAGCCCCGGTGACAGGGTGAGATTTTGTCTCAAAAAAAAAATCTTTACAACAATGACATCTTGATGAATAATCTTTTTGTAACTTTTTTCATTCACCATTATGTTTTTGAGATTTATTAGTATCAATTCATTTGTTTTAACTACAGCATAGTATTTCATGTTTTTCATGTCTCTTATATGTAGCATAGAGCTGAACTTTTTAGGAAACTTAATCTGAGACTATATCTCTTTTAGCAAGAGTTTAGCTTGTTTTGCTAATTATAATTGGATTTATTTCTTCTGTTGTATTTTGTGCTATTTACCATGCCTTTTCTTTACATTTTATTTTCTGCTTTCCTGTTACATTATCTGGGTCCGGTTTCAGAGAACAGAACCATTCTAGATAGTTTAAATACTATCTACATAGTTAAATACTATCTAGAATTTAGATGGTTTAAATACTATCTAGTATTTATTGCAGGTGTAGGATGGAGGGCCGAAGAAGCAGACTCCAGGCTGAACATTCAGGAATGACTTTGAGAGTCGTGCTGCAGAACGGAGCCACCAAAGGAGCCACTGCCTCTTCTAAAATCAGGAAGTCATGTACTGAATTGGGAAGCTGTCACTATACTTACCAGCTCTTGAGCCACACAGGTATTGTATTGTCATGATGAGAAGCCACTGCAGAAAAGTTAGATGCCTCCACACTGCACTCCCTGGCAGAGACAGCACACATGGACTCTGCTTCACCCGCACCTACAGACCTCATTAGAGAGAAAGTGATTGAGAGAACCAAAACCGCGTCCGGAATCCTTGCTGCAGGATCACGCAGGAGATGTAGTTCTGGCCTTTCAGCTTCTGCAAAGCGGGAAGGACAGTAGGAAGGCAATGGAATGGGCGTTGCACTAACTCCACTGTATCAGCCCACCAACGCGGGCAGCTGCTGAATCTGCACTCTGTTCCGTATTTCCTCCGTCTGATTTGGAATATATTTATTCGATTTCTATTCTTATTGTGATTAACTTAGTCATTTAAAATTTTTATTTTTATTTTATTTTTTTAGGAACAGAGTCTCATTCTATTGCCCAGGCTGAACTCCCAGACTTAAGCCATCCTCCTACCTCAGCTTCCCAATTAGCTGGGATGATTTTTTAATCAAATAAATACATGGGAATCGTATAAAAAGTAAAATTTACAGGCTTATAATTGTAAAAAGAATTCCCAAGTCCCCGTTTAAATAAGCTTACTTGCTGTTTTATGATATTTTTCAACTTTTACATATTAACTTAATTTTCTATTACAGAGAAGAATGATTTGGTCATTTTATGCCGCACCAAAAATATAATTTTACCTGCCCTCATTCTTTCAGTGTAGTTTTATGATCATTTTTGGTAAATCGATATTAAGTGTTTACATAGTGTAGTATAGTTTGGTACGAACTCTTTTTTGGAGTTAAAAATTGCCTGTGTTGTTGATTTGCTTAGATTTCTCTCAGCCCATTATAAATCCTTTCTCGAACATTTTTCCAGAGCTGTGAAACATATTGCTGCATCTACGAACGATGGTTTGCGGGAGGGCCTTTCCCCTGGGGTGCTTCGCCTTCCTGTTCCATCCTGGCCGCTGCCCTCTACCCGCTGTCGGCTGTGGTCCAAGCGTCCCCTCCCCTCCCCGTGAGGTGCCCTGAGTCTCCCGCGTTCTGACCTCTGCTTCCTGCATCCCAGGTAGGCCTCTTGCCACGTGCGCACCTGCATTTTGGTGAAACACATGCCCCAGTGGTTTCCTGGGGGCGGGAGGTGGGGTAAGGGGTACAGAAAAAGTAAAAATCTTTTGAGACTGTAAATGCGTGAAGATGTTTTCATTCTACCCTCATACTCGATTGTTAGTTCGGCTAAGAACAGTGGTTGTCGTTGGAAATCCTTTTCACTTAGCTCTTCGAATGCACGGCTTCGCTGTTCCTCGCTCCGGTGTTGCTGTTGGGAAAGCCACTCGCATTCTCTTTCCTTTCCCTTTGCAGAGGACTGGGTTTGTGGGAATTGTAATTTATGTATTTTTGTCCCGCCCCCTCCCCAAACCCTCTGAAGGCTTGGCGTGCTGGTATTTTACGACGACGTGCCTTGGTGTGGCTCTTCCGTTGCTGTTCATCGTGCCGGGCGCTGGGCACGTGTGCGGAAGTGAGCCGCTCACATCTTTCAGTTCTGGGAAGTTGTCTCATCTTTTTGTTAATTTTCTTCTCTTCATTTTCCTTGCTCTTTCTTTCTGGAACTTTTGTTAGTCAGTTCATGGGTCTCCTAGATTGCTCTTCTAATTTTCTTTTCTCTGCTATTTTCTATTTCTTTGTCTTTAGTTATTTTTCCATTTCCTGGTACATTTTCTCAACTTTATCTTCCAGCTATTCTGTCAAACTTTTATTTCTGCTATTAACCTTTTAATTTCTAAGAGCTTTTTCTTGTTCTGGAGGCTCCTTTTTTTAATAGCATCCTGTACTCCTTTCATGGATGTGATGTTAATTGTAGATTATTTCTGTTTTTACATTTTCTTCTATTCCATACGTTGTCTGCCTCTGTTTTGTTCGAGTTCATTTTTTTATGTGTTCATTTTGGTCTCCATCTAGAGACTTTCCTCAAACTTCTGGTGATCCTTGCCTCTCCATTCATAGTTAAGACAAAAATACTAAATATGTATAGATTCTTTGCTTCTGGAAATAAAAAAAATTAAATATATATTTGTATTTACTTTGTATCAAAGATTGCTAGTTGTCTCTCCTCCTTCCTTTATTAAAAGAAACCCTGAGCTTTAGCTGAACACATCTGGGCCCGGCTGAAGCCAGCTAAAGACTACATTTCCCATTCTCCCTTGCAAATAGATGTGGCCATGCAACCAAGCCCTGCCCAGTGGGCAGAAGTAATATGTGCAACTTTGGGATTATGTCCTTAAACGAAAATGGCATTCTTTTTCCTCTTCTCTGTTTCTCACTGACTGCAGTGTGGATGTGGTGACAAAATTGGAAGCACCCATCTTAGACCATTAGGCGAAAACTATGTGTTGAGAATGACAGAACAATGGTAGCAAGGAGGCCGGGGGGCCCAGGACTGTAGGACCACAATGTGAGCTCTGGGCTGCTTCTAGACTCTTGCACGACTGAGAGACAAGCACCGATTTTGTTTAAAGCCCTGTTATTTTAGCCTTTGTTATAGAAACTAAAGTAGGACCTATAATACTTAAATAGAAAAATTTTTTATAAACATATCAAGATGTGGTTAACAATAGTTGCCTTTGGGACTGTAATGGCTACTGGGCAATTTTTATCTTCTGCTTTACTCATTTTTAAATTATTTGCATTGTTTAAAAACAAGTATTACTATTAAAATAAGAAAAAATAACAAAGGAAGAATACCATTTAGTTCTATTTTTTTTTTTTTTTTTTTTTGAGACAGTGTTTCACTCTGTTGCCTGGCCTAAAGTGCCATGGCATCAGCCTAGCTCACAGCAACCTCAAACTCCTGGGCTCAAGCGATCCTCCTGCCTCAGCCTCCCGAGTAGCTGGGACTACAGGCATGCACCACCATGCCCGGCTAATTTTTTCTACATATTTTAGTTGTCCAATTAATTTCTTTCCATTTTTAGTAGAGACAGGATCTCACTCTTGCTCAGAGCTGGTTTCGAACTCCTAATCTTGAGCGATCCTCCTGCCTCAGTCTCCCAGAGTGCTAGGATTACAGGCATGAGCCACCGCGCCCGGCCTACCATTTAGTTCTAAGCAACTGAGTGGAAGGTCTGTGTGCATGCGTAGAGCTTCTCGGCTGGGAGCGCGGAGGGGCGCTGAGTGGAGACCCAGCCTTTCCATTGCATGTCTCCAAATGTCCCTATCTCCAGATTGTTGTCTGGGCGTTTGTTTGTTTGTTTTTCTCTAAGGTGGGTGGATTTCTCCAGCCTGAAGAATCCTCCAGTCTCCCGTGCAGGCAGACGAGCCTGGCTGCTGGTGTTCTGGGCGCCGAGTGGGGGAAGAGAAGCCGAGGGTCTCGCTATCTGATGCGCAGACTTTCTCTTGACCTCCCTGTTTTCCGATTGCCCCTCACTCCCAGCCTCTGCTGAGTCTCACCCTAAATCCAGAATCTTTCTGGCTTAATTTGCCCGGAGTTAACCTCCTGTCCCGACCCGCGGGACCTTCTGTTACTCGCGGGGGCGAGGGGGACCGTGCCTGAAAGAGATGAGCGAGAGAAAGAAACGAGACCAAGCGAATGATTGTCAAGGTCTGCTTTACTTGGATTTTTAGTAGGTTTTATATACAGAAAACAAGGAAGTAGAAACAGAAAAATAGAGTGGGGGAATAATGAGGCTTTCCTGTGGGCTGATCAGCCCCAATCAGCGTCCCAATGGCACCGGAAGCTCTTTGTGATGGATCTCTCAACCCCAACCTGGCAGGGGGTTGGGAACAATTGCAGGTGGCATGCCCTGGAGCAAGCATGGCATGGAATGCATTCTTCTTGGAACTACAGCTGGGGAGCTGGGTGCTATTTTCACGAGGAGGCCCGTGCATAGGGCAAGTCATTGGAATATGAAGGGTCTTAGTCTCCAACAACCTCCCATCTGCAGTCAGAGAAGAAGGGGGAGTCACCTCCCACCTGGGCTTTGAGCAGGTGGGGAAGGGGTCTAACTGCTCCTTGTACGGACTTCCGGCCAACCTGTGCACTTTCAGCTCTGTCGCTCTCCTCTTCTGGGTCCTTCTGAAGTTCTCTAGGACAAATTCTTCTTAGCTTTTCTCCTTCGCTCTGGTTCTTATGCATTTTGGTCTCTGCTTTGTGGACGACAGTTGGTGCATGCTTGGTGGCTAGGCCTGCCGCTGCAAAGCCCCTGCCTAGACCGGAGTTTAAGAAGGGTAAGGCACAGCAAAGAGAGCTGGCACCAATCAGACCCACTATGAATTTGAGGCCCCAGAATCTGGACTCTGAATCAGAACCCAAATGACCTCACTTGCCCGGCAGCAAAATCGTTTCCCTACAGGCTGCGACAATCTAAGTCGCCCCCAGGTGCTGATGCGGCTGCTCTGAATGACACACCTGAACCTTTCTTTTGAGTTCCTCAAGCCTGTTGACCACAGACACCACTGCCCTGGGCATCTGCTCTGAAGGAGTAGAAAGGCAACGCTGGGAATTCACACCCCTTCAGATGTACCCTCTGTCTGAGTCAGGGGCTAGCAAGCCTTGTTTCTGTAAAGGGCTATATAGTTAATATGTTGAGCTTTGCAGACGGTATGGTCCCATCTCCTTGTAACTACTCACCTCTGCCACTGTAGCATGAAAGCAGCAGAGACAGCACATAAACAGACCGTATTCCAATAAAACTTTACTTACAAAACAGACAGTAGGCCAGATTTGGTGCATTGACTGAATTTGGTGACCCCTGGTCTAAGTTGTCCTCACACTTTCTCAGGCTTGGTAAAGCTTATAAGGGAATTTCTCTATATCTGCAAGTATCAATCAATATTTTTAGGTCAAACCCAGAACTTTGAAGATTTTTTTTTTTTGGTCTTCTGGCCTCTTTTGTTGCTGTTAGTTTAATTGTTATTCCTTGTTCCTTTGTAGAGAATCTGTCTCTTCTTCTTTGTTACTTTCAGTTTCTTGCTTGTTTGTTTGTTTGTTTTTTGAGACAGAGTCTCACTTTGTTGCCCAGGCTAGAGTGAGTGCCGTGGCGTCAGCCTAGCTCACAGCAACCTCAAACTCCTGGGCTCAGGCGATCCTCCTGTCTCAGCCTCCCAAGTAGCTGGGACTACAGGCATGCGCCACCATGCCCGGCTAATTTTTTGTATATATATTTTTAGTTGTCCAATTAATTTCTTTCTATTTTTAGTAGAGACGGGGTCTTGCTCAGGCTGGTTTTGAACTCCTGACCTCGAGCTATCAGCCCGCCTTGGCCTCCCAGAGTGCTAGGATTACAGGCGTGAGCCACCGCGCCCGGCCTTGTTTGTTTTTTGAGACAAGGTCTCATCCTGTCACCCAGGCTGGAGTGGAGTGGCACAATCATGGCTCGCTGCAGCCTTGAACTCCTGGGCTCAAGCGATCCTCCTGCCTCAGCCTCCTGAGTAGTTGGGACTACAGGCCTGCGTGACCACGCCCGGCTAATTACTTTGCAGTTTTGTTACAATATGTCAAGGTATGGATTTTGTCTTGTCTATCTCGTTTAGAACTGAGTATATTTCAGTCTGATGACTTGTGTCAGTCAGGATTAGACTTGGCTGTAACAGAAAACTTCCCCCAAAGTGACCTATAAAAAGTTGAAAGTTTATTTCTTTCTTATGTAAAAGTTAAGGTACCGTCTTGTTGCCGTGCCATTCATAGCCTCAAGTTTATGGTGCAAGATGGTAACATCTGTATTCCAAGCAGCAAGATAGAGTAAGGTGCGAAAAAGGAAAGAAGGGTACATTCATTCTGTCTCTTAAGGAAGATTCCCAGAAGCTTCCACATGAACTTTCCTCTATATTTATCCCATTGAATAGAACTTAGTCACATGGCCATACCTGGATACAAGACAGTCATGTGCCCAACTAAAAACCAATATGCTATTATAATAGAACAGTGGTTCTCAAACTTTAGCATCCATCAGAATCACTGGAAAGCTTATTCAAACATAGATTGCTGAGCCCCACTTCTGAGTTTCTGATTCAGTAGGCCTGAGATGGGGCTGAGAATTTGCATTTCTAACAAGTTCTCAAGTGATGTTGGTG